AACGTTTTTCGAACGCCTTTTCTGACTAATTGGGAAATTGAGATATGGCGGAGTTTTATTTGGCTGTTTTTTTTTCAATCACCATCAAAAGGGCAAGTGATTTATCCACGACATCCAAGGTCTTATTATTTACAATAGATAATATTTTATCTGCATTGCCCCTTGGAACCGAAGGCACAACTCGTCCGCCACCAGTTTTATAAAGTTTTTTTTTCTGATTGGAAATGTGCTTCCGGATGCCTTCTTTTTGGTTGTTGTAGAATTTCCTGATTGTTGCGGTCGTACGCGGAATTGTTGTTTAAAAATTAATTTTTAATTGTTTTAACAAATAGCATTAAATTCGCCCGTTATTTTCTAGCATGTTGGCGGCTTTTCGTGGGAAGACAGAGCATTTGTTTTTTTTTATTTTCGATGATCTCAATGAAACGCGACGAGCTCTAAAAGAGTATCTCTTTCATTAGCGCTAAAATTAGTAGACCATTTTTGTTTTGCAGCCATTAGTAAAACAAAGTTCTATACATTTTTTTGGCAGTAGCTTGAATTGGTTTGGCAACGTTGGAAAGGTACAAGGTATTTATTAATTTTAATATATTTGAATAAATATTTCTGGATATGGGGAAGACGGTAATGATGAGTAATGAAATTTGGCAAAATGCATATATTTAATATAATAACTTTGTATACATCTAAAAGGCACACACAAAATAGGTGATTTTAACTAGAAAAATGCCAAGACAGAGATTAGCTGGTTTATTTGTGCGCTAAACATCTGGAAAATATGAATTAATGTGACATGTTCCATATTGTACCTGTGCGTATTGTGTAAGAGCCAAAATGCATAAAGTCCACTAGAAAAACCAGCTTAAATGGATCATTTTTTCGCAAATGTGGTAACAGGCTCTTGTCGTTCTTTTTCGAGGTTGTTTCTGGTAATGTTGAAAGCCTCAGTTTTCCTGAAGTCCACTTTTTTGTACACGGTATCAGTTTCGCTCGCTTTTGGCAATACTTTTGACCCACTGTTTGAGGCCGCACCTAGTGACAAGCCGAAACATTGTACTGAACTTAGTAATACAATTCCCAAAAACGCACCTTCCAGATCCAAATCTAAATACTGCATTCTGTTCGAAAGATATTGGTAGCTGTCCTGGTTTTGATACGTATCGTCTATTTGGCCAGGAGGCGTGGGACTAGGCGCAGCGCGAATCTTCCTGATCCCATCCTCTTCTGACAAATGGAACGACTTCCTCATATTCGCCTCCTGAAACCCCGAATGTGACTGAAAAACACTTGTTAATTAACATCAGCACGTACTTGTAATGGAGTGGGAGGTTTGAGCTTCCTATCAACTGAAGGCGCCAGAGTCCTCGGTGATGGAGGCTCATTATAGGAAGAAGTGGAAAGAGTGTCCGACAGCTTTCTCCTAGGTTTCAAGTCCCTGGAATTGCAACAACACAAATTTGCAGTTCAGAAACAGTCACCAGTAGAGAAGCAACCTGTTAACTGTTGGCGGGGGCATTAATTGCGATTCCGACAACAAAGGACTTGGCAGATTGGAGTATGCCGCCGTAGAAGAAGAGTGCGAATGTGCAGGCGAAGACGGTTCCAAGTTTTGAGTGGCCTCCAGGTCGTATCTGAATACCTGAAATCCGAAAAGGTACATAGAAAATGCACGCTGAAAGGCATTGAGGTCTTACAGAGGTAATGGAACTCGTGCTGGGCTTGGGCGAAACATCGTAGTGAAACACAGTCCCTTCAGCGCACTTGGTAGGGGCCGCGTTGTTGTAACAATGCCTCCTTTGCAGTGTCCCTTTGCTCGCTTCCGCTTCATATGTGTGTGAGCGGGGAAAATCGTACATATCGTCACTGATTACTTTCTGAAATAACCAAGTTTATTTAATAGGCCAAGTCGAAAGACTGATATGCTTACTGTTTCAACCTGTCCGCTCTGGTCTTCATTTTCATTCCCCCTACTGCAAACAACACCTTTTTAACAAGAGTCCACTATAGACAGTTGTTCTTTAAGTACCTTTTCTTGGTGGGAGTTGGAGCCAAGTTCAAGTAGGCAGCGGTATTAACATGGGAAGACTTAGGAGGTCGTGGCGGCGGTAGCGTATGTGGGGCATCAACAAGTCTGATGAATTTTTGCGCAGCAACGGGCTCTGGATCTGGATCCATTGACTCATCCACAGAAGAACTCACTCGCCTTGACAAGTCTAGATGTGCAAATCCCATGCAATGTAAATACATTGTCGCCCGTGACTGGCCTTTATCTTTCACCTGAATCGACATTACGCTGCACCCATTCCTCATCGTTGAATACATTGTCGGACGCTGTAGGGCTTTGCAACGGCGACCCAACGTCCTGCCTGCCACCCTTTTGCGGGGTCAGTTGTCGCGGACAATCGTAGAAGCGGGGATCTTGGACATCGTTCACATAGTTGCGCCCCGGATCTTGGCTCAGGTTCACGTAGCTGTTCTGTGAATGAAACTCGTACATATCGTTCTGAGCCGTGTACCGACTGCTGTGCCTCTGGTTGTATTCCAAAAGGCTCTTGAAGTCTTTCAGGTCGAATATGGGCGATTTACCGGTTATACATTCGGAGATTGGGATGTAGGGGCTTGTGCTAACTGGCGATACGGGTGGCGTGGCCCCGATTGCTCCAGTCCGATTGGCATTTTCCTCTGTTATTTCGATGTTGGTGCTATTCATTGGTATATTAACTGCAAGAAACGTTAGAAGTTAAGAGTCTGATATAAGTAATGGCCAGCAGCAACAAAATCAAAAACTTACCATCTTCATCTTCATTGGTACATTTAAGGCTACAAACCCTGCAAATGCACGTCACCCAAGACTTCATTTCCTCTTCGGTATCGGCTGCCAAGTAGTAAGTACGATTGGGTGTTTTGATGCCGAATATATGGTCGAATTTCAATTTCCTTTCTTCGAGCTTCAGCCCCAAGTCCACCTAATAAAGCAACTCGTTCAGTAAGCATTTCGAATTGCCACACGTCTTTGACTACCTGTTCGCAGTGGTCCAAATCAATCACCCCCTTAAGTTTCCTGCGGTTTCTATCTGTGTAGTAGGTGAGAACATACTGTCCAGGGATATTGCCCGAGTGGGTCAGCAAAAACCATCTTCTTCTCCACTTCTAAACAGTTTTCATTCTTTTGTCAACTAAATCCACTAAATTACTTATCTGCTAATGATATATTTGATGTATGAATCATGTTTTATGAGACTGTATTTAATAGACATTTTAGACAAATAGTTCGTTGACAAAGCGATTAAAAGTGATAAGTAACTTGCCGCTCTCCATATCCTTTTCGTTGGAGGTGACTTGGTCAGCCAGCCCTCGAAAACGACTTCTTCTGGAGACTTTGCCATATTCGCTGCTTCCAAACGGACAGTTTCACTCGACTGATGACTAATCTACAGCACTGATTTCCTGGAACTTGTACTGTACAAAGATCCGTGTGTGCTGCTGAGACTCTGGTCAAGGAGATTGTAAAGTAATAAGGGAAAACACGCCAAAAAAGAACATTGAGAATGTGAAATTCCAAGAAATAGCAACTGTCACAGTGTCAAGTTGAATGCTCACAACATTTTTGCAATAGAACGTTGCCAGCTTTAGAACTGGTTTTTTCATAAGTTCCGTTTAATAATCCGAAATAGACGTTTAATTGACTGGTGTAATTTAAGATTGCCAGCCGGGCACAATAAAACCAAAGAACGTTCTCAATTAAAACAACACAATAATTATTCCCGTTCCAGGCTTCCAACTACGCAACACTGTTTATAACCTAACTTTTCGCCAGATAAACAAGCATTAGCTGTTCTATGGTTCGATATTTTGACACATCTCATCGTAATAATAACTATTACCATTTTCATGTAAATTCCCAGTGAAACCCAACAATTCACAGCAGAGGACAGGTGACTAATGTGGACACGTTTTCGCCCCGTCAGTTTCTCCACCAGTTAAAGAATATCAGTTAGAGTTGAACTGCGCTCAAGGACCCGTCGCAAGTGGTTCCTTTGTGTTGCACAATTCCGCAGTTCTGAACAAAAATAGTATCGCGACCTCATTCCTTGACTGGTTGCAGTAGTGAATACATTCTGAGTTTCAAACGCCAAGATGAGCGAAGAGAGAAGCCAGCCGCATGACATTGGGGGCCCTGCCAGGAACCGCAACATCAGTGAGGGCTCAGCTGCCAGTGACGATGGGATGACTTCAGGCTTTGCTGGCAAAAGGTAGGACACAATTTTATCCCATAGTTGGTTGAGTTTAACTATAAAATGAGAAGCTATCAAACTGACAACCCCAGTTTCACTACATAGTAAATAGATCTAGGCAAAGTACAAGATTCTCGCCAATACGTTTGTTGAATATTGCAGAAAACCATTCTTGGTCGTCGCGAGCACTGGAAGGTAACTGTGCGCGTGTTTAGTGCTTTCGCTCCTAACAATGTCTGAGTTTTTTTTAAGGCCCTTTATTAATTCATTTTGGGGGGTGAGGATGCCAATTAACAACGAGCTATCTTGGCTGGCGCAATTTCGTTAACTGACTCGGTGTTACAGGGAAAGAACTACATCGCAAACCTTACCGGTAGCAAGCGGTCTAACCGCAGCCTCTCCGCCGAAGTTTGTCTCTTGGGAAGAGATAATGCAAGCTGCGAACGGAATGCGCGACATGAACCTGGTGCATCAGATCGCTGTGGACGAGAATTTCCGACTGGAAAAGGCGGAACCGGAACCAAACACCTTACAAAAAGTCATCAAAGATACAATGCACAGGGCCTTTTGGGATATTCTGCGGCAACAACTGGCTGAGGATCCACCCAGCTATAACCAGGCGAGTATCAAGAAATGTACCATTGATCTTGGCATGAAACCGCTCGGAACCCATCAACAAAGAATCGGCCGATGTTGCCTCGACTGGCCATATAGGGAAAAGCCAAGGTTGATGGGGTTTCAATAAGGAAGTTGAATGCGCTGTAGAGGAAGAATAAACGGGTTGTTATTTGTTTTCAGGCCTTCGTTTTACTGGAAGAAATCAAGCAAAATTTGAATGATCTCCTGCTGTCGCAGCACACTAAGACAAAGCAGCAGATTTCAGAGATTTTGGATATTCCGTTAATCAAGCAGCAAGCGGAGAAAGGCATTTTGGACTTCACCGTATGTATCCGCATTAATTCGCCGGAATTGGCCTTTTAAAGCGTTCGTTTTAGTACTACGCAAACTTTATTATTTCGATTATGGCCAAAATGTGTGCTCCAATACGGGACAAACAAATCGCACGAATCCGAGAAATCACTGACATTGTCGAGGTCTATAAAGGCATTCTAGAGGTTTGTTTCCCTGTTTCTCAAGCACTTGGTTTTCAACCGTCTTTCTTTAGACGCTAGAATTAATGCACCTTGATACGGCAAATTTTACCCTGCGACTCATTCGGCCTGACATAATCAACCACAGCGTCGAGCTGGAGCGGGCGAAATTTGCAAAGTTTCTTGAAGTGCAGGCAGGTAAACCAACTTTAATTCAGATCGATGGAAGACATATTTCACTGCTGTTGCTCCCTGTTCAGATGGCTTAGAACAGACGCGAAAGTGGCTCCTTCGGCACATTCAGGCCGACCAGCCAGTTCCAACAGACGTGGAATATGAGACGTTCATCAGGAGCTGTTCCAAGCGAGCTTTCACTTTAGCTTGCATCGACTTGCTCGAGTGGGACAGGTCGAATCCCTATCCTGAAACGTTGATTTTAGATGAAGAACGGTTGCGTGATGTACAAACTCGCACCTTTCGCTTAGTGGCTATAGCTACTGTTCTGTTGGTAACGCTCGCCAATGCGGGCGATGACTTGCAATTCGTCAGCTCTTTCAAACAGGTCCTCAAGGACCGTATAAGCATCTTGTTGGCGAACGTGAAAAGTGATGATGACTTGAAAGAGGCTTTACCAAATATTATTGAACAGGTGAGATCTGCAGAGATTAGTTTTGGTTCGGTAATTGAATATCCGAGTCTTTCAGGTGATAAAGGATGTCCGCGAGGCGCAGCAGAAGTATGACTTGCCCCAGTTAGGAGCTGCTAAGGAATCCGCGCTCAAAGATTTGCTGATGGACATTGGCCGCGAAGGCCACAAAGTGAGAGGGATAGTGAGTGAGTATTTGGATGCCGTAATGTTGGACAATGCTGCATTGCTAATGGACTTTCAGGGCAACGGATCAAAGACTTTTTCCTGAACATTATCGAATCGGCGACCGCTGCCCCCCAGAAAGTGCCCACAGGGCTAACAGCGTTCCAGTCGGACTTGACTGGCATTGCCGGTGAATTCCTGCGAATAGTTTCGCACAACAGCTCCGTTTTCTGCATTTGGTACTTCAATATTGTGTCTGCAGTCCTTCCAAAACCGTAGACCTATGCATTCACAGTATCAGCCTAATCAAAATATATTACTAATCAAGCTTTGACTTACCACTTTAACATCACTTACTCCTCGTGCCTACTTTATTGATATTGTGGTATTTAATAAATTATATGCACCATTTTTGCGTTTCAATTAACATCCGAGGCGAAGTTGCTAGCTGAGTGAAATATCTGAACATTGGTTTGTTTACAGGTTTATTTCAAATATTTAATTAAAGGAAATGCTACAACTCCATGCTGGAATTGCATTAAAGCCTGAAGATACGCTTAAAAACTAAACAGAAACCGGTGAATAGAAATGGAATTTTACCTTCCACATACATGCTCAGATAACTATCCAAAACACGGCGTATAACACGACCAGAGTCTAAATGTTTAACATTATAAGGATTATAGCATAGGTGTCCTAATATTATAAGTAGTAACATTTGAATCACAATTAAAATTTCAACAAAAAATGGATTTTGACTGGCATGCAATTTCTAGTTCTGCAGTCAAATGCATGTGGTAAATTCCTTGTGCTTTGAAATAATGAATACAACAACTCTCTTTATAAAGCAATTTTCCACCTTATCGTTTTGAGACACAACCACCTACAGGTGGTACACATCAGGAATGAGTCTACACAAAAAACTTACCCTAATATCTTTTTTATTGTTGTGGCTGACCCTACTGTGAGAGCTCCAGTTTTAGTACTTAAACTGGCAAGTCTCACAATACGTGGCCACCACACTTGAAGTTACACCAGAATATCTAAGCTTTCATTAAGGGTCTAATAATAAATTCCGCAAATAAAGTGTATAAAACCGATTAAAATAACAACAAAACGCACATTGACTCGAACTTACCAGACAACCGGCCTTATTGTTCTTCGTCGCCCAACTCGTGCTTGATCTTCGAAAAGTCGAACTCCTCGCCTGTTCCACGCTTGAATATATCAAGCACGTCGAGGCAAGTGGTTTCAAAGTGAGTGGTAGCATCGTAGGACTCTGAGATGAAGATCTGAGACTGAATTCCATCGTCGGTGGGCTCATAGTAGTCCGAGACGGAGACGAACTTCTGGCGAATCGGACCCAACAAATCCAGCCCGGATTTGATTTCAACCTCCGGATTTGCGGTTTCTACCGTTGTGGATACCATGGCGATAAACCAGCCCTTGGCGGCCACTTGATGCGTGTAGCTAACCACCGACACGTAAATATCAGAGTGGCGACCCACCTGCAACAAAGGTGTTTATCAGCTAAGAAGCTTTAAGAAGTGGGCGCATGCTACCTGTTTCTGCGGAATGATTATCTGAGTGGACAGAGCGTCCTTGGTGTTCGGAATGGGGTGGTCGATCAGGCAGATGCAACGAATCACTTTGCCCTTCTTGCGAACGCGATCTGGCACATAAGTGGGATCGCAATAGACCTAGCAGGGCAAACAAGCTTAAAGACAATTGTCAAGTACTCTCATTGAATTAGAAGCGCATTAATCACATGTCTGGGGTGTACGACGGCAAACAAGACAAAGTACCTACTTGCTTGCATTTGGCGATTTCGTTGCCAGAACGCACCCCGATTACTTTGCCGCCTTCACCAAAGACGAGCTCGTCGATCGGCTTGTCCAACATATAAGTGCCTCCGTAAATTGCAGACAAACGAGCGAAACCTTTAAGAAATTACAATTTAATCACTTCTAGTAATCGAAAAGTTTTTATAGCTTATCTGAGTTTCCGTATAAACTGTTCTGATTCTGACTTCGCAAGTCCGTTGATTGAAAAAAAAAACGATCACGTTCAGCCACTAGGCATTTAGTAATTATCGAAATAATCATCAACGAATCCATCTTGGAGCGTTCGATTTGATTGCAAAAGTAAAAAACTATATGTTTATGGTCTGGTAACAAAGCGTTGACCTCGCCGCCAGTTCTTTAGCGAACTTAATTGAAACGTGATTTCGTTGGATGTTGGTAATAACGTTCGATATTTCGGATTTTGTGCAACATTGAATCAGAGATTAATGAGTAGCATACCTTGTGGCAGCTCGCCCAATCCATACATTGGATACAAATAGGGAGACTTTCCATAACGAGCCAATGAATCCGAGTACAGTTTGATCCTCTTGATAGTTTCGATGGCTGGGTGATTTAGATAGTCATCATCCCTGAACAGGGCCAATGCATGCCCAGTGAAATCTTGCGTGTTCTTATCCAGACCAAATTTGTCGTAGAGAGCAGTCATGTTCTGAGTGCTAGGGTCGAAATCCTTCCATGTTTTCGGGTCGTCGTACAGAAAGTCTTGCACGTAGATCAGGAAGTTTCTAAAGCGCCTCTTCTCAAACATACCCATCAGATCCGAGGCTAGGGCTTCCTTTTGATCGACTGGAACCTAATCAGAAGTACAATAAAACTGCTGCTCGAATGGGGAAAATGCGTTATTCACCTTGGAAATCTTACCGCCCTTATACACGTAGCTGCCTTCCACACTTTTGAATTCCAAATATCTGGTCACACCAGTGTGAATGAGCAGTTTGACCAACGAACCGTTGGCCATTAGGAATTTCGGGATTAAATCAACATTCCAGTCACGCCCCCTTCCGTAGCTCTCGTCTGGAGCAGGAGCCCCAAACTTGGTGAACAGTTCTTCCAAAGGGCAGATAGAGGCGGATTCGCCACCATAGTATTTGTTGCGGTCGACATGTAAGACCTTTTTACCCGATACGGAAAGCATCCCGCTAAGGATGCACTCCTTCAGGCCGGTGCCCAGCACAATTGCGTCGTATTCCTCATCCATACTGGAGCACTTTTACTGTTCGATTCACCTAATTAAAACCTTTCTCAATACAGATTTTGCACTTTTGCCGAAACGGATACGTCGGCGATCACAACGGTAGAAACGTCACCGTCACTGTGCTGTCATCTCTAGGCCAGCCAGGGCTGCAATATCACGCTACTAATTTCACTGGAAAATGCTACAAATTTCGTCGTTTTTCCACGACGAAATTCCCTGTTTCAGCTCCAGGTTTAATTAGCAGCATGTACATCTGCCGCAATGGACAATTGAGACCGTTTCTGCGATATATAGATACTAGAGGAACATTATAGAGAAAATAGGCGCATATTGGTGCCACTGGTTTTTGACTTTGATGACGCCGCCGCACCACGTAGAGAATGTTGTCAAGCTGACAGATAAAAACAAAAAAGGAAACAGCAGAAACAGTTTGAAACCGTATGGGGCAGGGAAAGTAGTGTTACCGTTCGTATTCAGTAGAGAATTGCCATATTCCGTGCGTGCTTTAAGCCTTCATTTCGTGAGCGTCAGAACTCCTACTGCTACGACTCTTAGGGCCGCTCCGTAAGTTATGAAACAGAAGGTAAGCTGTATGTTTCCTTGCGTTTGTGTCCAGCAGACTATTCAGCGCTGAGTCCGAGATTTATCTCTGCTGGATAATGGACTGCTTGATTCAGTTCAATTTATTGGCTATTAACTTTCCTGGCTCAAACAAATGCAGTCAGTGAACAAGCAATAATAATAAATAGCAGCGATCCTTCCAATGTCCTAGATACAGTGTGATTCATAATCCAAAAAGAGGAGAAGGAAGTAGAACTTGTTCTGAATGCCAGCAAATCTCTGGTATCGTTTCAGCCTTCCAATGTCTTGATTTCAAGTCGAATGGTACCTCCGAACGTCCCGAATCACATATTATAAGTAGTTTAAACACCTCAACATTAACGCTAGCTTTTTTTTTTTTTGCTCGGCGGCGGCTGGAGGTTAAAAAATCTTCTCGAAGACACCCAGTGTCCCGTGACACCAGGTAGTGTTGGATTTCTACCAACTAAAAAACCCCCATTTTTGACTGCAAGTTTCCAGGAGTTATTCAACTAATTCAGGCTGCGTATTAATTGTCCAAGGGCAAAAACATGTACCACTAAAGGAAGGATTATTGAATGATATTAGATATAATCTAATCTGGTTTATTATTCTAATCGCTGTGGTATTTTCCAACTTCAATACGGATTTGATAGAACTAAATTAGAACCAATGGTCTTTTGCAGGGTGCCCACAATGTCGAATTTCAATCCAGGGTCCGAAAGAGCCAGTGTTCCAGAGACTGCGAGTCAGACGCAAGCTGGCGCTCCCACTAGCCGTGTAAGCTTGGGGGGCACCACTTACACATTCCCCGATGTTACGTTGGGGGCCCCCAGCCCACAACAGGCCAGGGGGCACCTGAGGAGCGTCAGCCATGGGGGCAGCTCCAACCTGCCGGCAGGAAGCAGTTCGGCTGGCGGAGTGGCCCGATCTGCTTTGAAAGGTAGTAAACCGTTTGAAGTGGTCTGTTTTTAGCTGTGAATGGGGCTTATCACGATCATTTGAAGAGGCAAGATTTGTGTATAATTTTGCTTCCAGGAAGTAATACTATCTCGATTAACTTGCTAGTGAACAATTTTGTTTAGCAAATAGACTACACCTTAAGATAAAAACTAGATGTATATTTAGCAGTAATTTGTCCAAAAGTTCAGTACTTCTAAGCGGAATAGCTGAGATCGATTTAGGAAGTATGACCCAGTTTGAACTTTTGGCTGCAGGTTCCAGAGGACATCAAAGAGCATTTTCACAAGGCCAGATCTCAGAAGTGCCCCCCGTCGGAGCTGAACGGCCGGGGCACTCCAGAGTCGGCTCCAAAACTGACTTCATTTTGCCACCCGAACACAAGGATTCTACGAGGGCCGAAGGGGCCACGTCTCGCATAAGCACCAAGGGACATTCCAGGTGAGCCTCATCCTTCATATTGCAACAGCGAAACTTTAACTTTTCTCTCTCTTGAAGGCAAGCCTCTACATCCGAGTCCACCTACACGCTGCGGAACTCTGATCCTCCTCATCTGTGGCAGAAACTTTACTATCGGTTGACGCGGCGCTCCCCCCGGTCTGAGCAAGAGGAACGGATCAGAACCGTAGTGCCCAATCACATAGTGCCGCCAAAAACCCCGCGTAAAGTGCACCCAAATGGGCGCCGGCCCAACAATCGGATTCGGACTACCAAGTACACCTTGCTCAGTTTCTTGCCGCGCAACTTGCTAGAACAGTTCCACCGGGTGGCCAATTTGTATTTCATCTTTATTGTGCTATTAAACTGGGTGCCCGCCATCAATGCCTTCGGTAAGGAGATCGCCATGATCCCCGTTTTGTTCGTGTTGGGTGTCACCGCTGTTAAGGATCTGTTTGAGGACAGGCGACGGCATGCCAGCGACAAGAAGATTAACAACAGCACCTGTCGAATCTATAATAGGTGAGAATGTTGCAATGTACGCTATCCGCGAAGATGCCAAGAAACTCGGGAGATTTTTCTAATTCGAAATTTGTACCGGATCGTTCGTTCATGGCACAGTTATGGGATTAATTATGTTGTTTTTTTTGTATTATTGCAAGACATTGTCCTGTCTACTGGTACTCTTTAATCCCCCTTAAATCATTATCTGCGGATAGTGCGCCTAATCAATAGTGTCACTAATCTTCGGTATGTTCAGGAACTGATGATGATCAATAACACCAGTTTTTCCTATATTCCGAAATCGATTCCTGGACATTAAAGTTGCATTTTTGTTTACCAAGTATAGGATTGCCCTTTGGAATAATTCAACCTCCATCAGATTCGTGCCAGAATTCCGGATGATTGTCTGTATGCTTAATCAAATATGCACCTGCCATGACACGAACAGCGGCTTTAATAAACTATTGCTCAGTGGTTTCGATTACTTAACTGTCGATCCACCGTAGAGGCATTTTTTTTGGTTTACCGGACTAATTTGCTTGTAAAATTGAATTTCTTGTAACGTGTCGTTGCTCACCTTGTTCCTACAAGGCTAGCCTTGGCATTTATAAGAGTTTGGGTGTAGAAATTCAACTATTAAAGCTGATAATTTGCTCATTAAAAAAAAACGACTGCTGGAAAGTGTTGTATAAATGCAATGTTATGAGTGTTTAAAAGCAACGTGTTCGTCTCCAATAGCCACGCTTGGTCTGCACACGCAGTATGCTTAAAAGCGTGTGTTAACAATTGGATTATGAAGATATTATTGCCGTGCGTTAAGTGAAAGTGAATTCGATTAGCATATTATCTACCGGAAGCATTTTTTGCTTTTTTGCAACATAGCAGGAGAAATCCATCTTCAACTACAAGCTAGTCTTTCACCAGTTGCCGGTTATTTGCCATAAAGTTGCCAAACTTTATCAGCGATTTGTTATTGCCACACTTAAAATTCTGCACTACTTCCCGCAATTTTAAGCCAGTTTTATGTACTTCCAGTCGTAGATGTCAGCTTCCTTGCTTAATCATTGAGATTAGAGCTAATGTTATTTTACGGGCTTAAGGCGCGTCCATGCCAATCCCCACTTTATTGTGTTTGTTCCTGGATCATTATTGATAAGTTCATCCTTACAACTCAAATCAAACCTACGCATTTGAGTGCACACCGGTTAAGGCCGTCACGCAAGTTGTTCATAATAGATTCCTATCAAAGTATCAATCATTTTTACATAGGTGCTACCTTGGACGTCGTTAGCGTATGTGCCTCAGTAGCAAATACAAACAACCATGTTTTATCCGTTGGGCAATCAGGGAAAATCAATTGCCTGATAGGCTCGACATGTGAACAAAGATATGCGCCCAACTAATAAATGCCTGGATAATTTTTTGTAGTGCAAATTCTTCAATGCAATTGGCATTAACGTTAAAAAACAACAACGCAATCTTGATTGCGTTGTTGTTTTTTAACGTTAATGCCAATTCTCCACTGCGTTTGCAGCAAAAGTAAATCGTTGATTAAATCAGCACACGCCAACGCGTTAACAAGCGCCGACCGACAGTCGCTTGGCGTATAAAAAGACGACGGCTTTGAGGTTGTCCACTCTTCTGCAAAATGCCCAACCTGGCTACGCAATGAAAACCATTGCCAAGGCGCCTTACATGTATGCAAATACACATTGTCGCGGAAATAAAAATGTGGCACATTCGATTTGTATGAAATACCTGCTGGCTTGGCTTAGGTCGCGAACCAGGTCTAAGAACTGTAACTAACCTGGTGGCCCAGTTGTTTAGCGTTTTGCATACAAGAGGCGATGATTCGCAATCAAAACGACCGTTGCCACTTCATGTTAATCAGGTCAATTTATCCATAAATGCACACGACTTTTACAAGCAATAGTAATAATTTTTTAACTTCTAGGGAGCACTCGAGGTACAGGAAAGTGCTCTGGAAAGACGTACGAGTTGGCGATCTAATCCACTTGTCGAACAACGAAGTTGTACCAGCTGACATCTTGTTGCTGAGATCCAGCGATAGCAGCGGACTGTGCTACATCGACACCGGCCACTTGGACGGGGAAACTAATCTGAAACAACGACAAGTAGCCAGGGGTTTTATTGAGAAGGTAACGGTTAGTGGCGGAACCAATAGGAATTCGCTTTAAATCCGGTAATTTTTCATCCAGCAACGGTGGTTCGAGCCAAGCAAGTTCCGGAGCAAAATCGAGGTTGAGTCTCCAACCACCAAGATATACAGGTTCCATGGGTCGATTGTGCACGATTCCGGCCAACGAGTTCCAGTGGGCACCGACAATCTTTTACTCAGGGAGTGCTTGCTGAAGAACACCGATTTTATTGAAGGCATCGTTGTTTATGCAGGTAATGTAGTAGTACGCCTTTTACAACCCTCTCAGCTCATTGTGGAATTCATTATATTAGGCCACGAAACGAAGGCGCTGCTGAACAATGGAGGTCCCCGATACAAGCGCTCTTCGCTGGAGAAACAGATGAACCAAGATGTGGTTTGGTGCGTGCTAATTTTGATTCTGATGTGTATCCTGGGCGCCATCGGATGTAAGCTGTGGCTATTGGCCTTTCCAGACTTAAAGTCTCCGTTTCGCGAGGAGAGCGATCAGATTGAAGCGTTTCTGGCCTTTTGGACCTACGTTATTATTTTGCAAGTGAGTAGCGCGTCTCGTATCCACCTCCTCCAATAAAATCTGTTGCGTTTCCAGATCATGATTCCCTTGTCACTGTACGTAACTCTGGAGCTGTGCAAGATTCTGCAAGTCTATCACATCCATCACAACGTCGACTTGTACGATTCTGTTATGGACAAGCGCATCGAATGCAGGGCGCTCAACATCACCGAAGAATTGGGTCAAATACAGTACATTTTCTCCGATAAAACCGGCACCCTCACGGAGAACAGGATGATTTTCCGGAATTGTGCCATTGCTGGCATCGATTACAACCATCCGGAGTTGGAGAACGAAGCCCAAAATTGTAAGTCAATATCAGTTAGGATTAGCGGAACTTTAGAAGTAAAGAATCACCCCTGTGTCAGCAACTGATATTTATGCAATGTATTTTCAGGCAACAAGCAGGGGAATTTGAGTGTGAAGGTAAATGAACAACTGGTGACAGATTTGAATCAGGGAGTTACGGCCGAACATGTGTTCAGCAGCCGGAATGTGCACAGCGCCCGAATTCAAGAGTTCCTACTGCTGCTGGCCGTTTGCAACACGGTGGTGTGTTCCAAGCATCCTCATCACGACAACATGAACGCCAGCGGTAAATTTTCCGCGTTGCTCATAGATTGATAATCACGTCTGTTTGTTTAGGCATTATCGAAGCCCTGCCGAATATTCTCAGCAGCGCAGAAGAAGATTCCGTAAAAGCAGTAGAAACCGCCAGTCCAAAATCGCGCTCGATCTGCGACAAGTACAGCCGGCTGGAGGAGTCGCGGTCGGTGACTCCTTCGCCTCCTCTCAACGCCTTCGGGGCCGACAGCAAGCGCTCTTACGTGCCCACATTAAGCCCCATTGAGTCGGTGGAGAATTCTGAGTCGATGGAGGGCCAGGCTAGCTCGAGATCGTTACGGCCGAAGCTGCTCTCCATTCCAAGCATCGGGTTTCTTAGCCGAAAATCGAACAGCACCGTCAATTTAACTGATGAAGAGAAGGTGAAACTGGGCCATGCGGCCAGTCCTTTGTCGCCCAGCGACCTCAAACCCATCTACGAGGCTGAAAGTCCAGATGAGTTGGCTTTGGTCGACGCCGCATACATTTACAAGTGCCGGCTGCTGAGACGCACCCCTACTGAGGTGACTGTGGACGTGCCAATGAAAGGGAGGATGATGTTCAAGATACTGAACATACTTCCGTTTGACTCCACAAGGAAGCGAATGTCGGTGATCTTTCGCCACCCAACCACTAGCGAAATCATCCTCTACTGCAAGGGCGCCGACAGTTCAATGATCCCTCGGCTGGTTCCGGCCGAAGATGACTCTGAGCAGACTTTCATCCTGAACAAAACACAAGTGCATTTGGGCAGCTATGCGCGTGAAGGCTTACGCGTGCTGGTCATGGCCAAGAGAGTGCTGAGCCAACAAGAGTACAATGACTGGACGACAAAGCATCAGGAGATCGAACTATCCGTGGACAACGTGGAGAAGAAGATCCGCGACAGCTACAACTACATCGAGTGCAACATGACGCTGCTAGGGGCCACGGGAATCGAAGACAGGCTCCAAGAAGGGGTCCCAGAGACCCTGACCGCTCTAATTGCGGCCGGAATAGTGGTTTGGGTGGTGACTGGCGACAAGCCGGAGACCGCCATCAACATCGCCTACTCGGCCAAGCTGTTTTCGCCGCAGATGGAGCTGCTAAAGATCATGGCGCGGTCCAAAGAGAGTGCCGAAAGCACCATCCGCTGTTACTTGGCCGACATTGAACTGCAGTCGAACCAGGCTGAAAACGCTGAAGAGCACTGTTCGGCCGGCTGTAGCAGCCGTATCGGGCCTCAAATGCCAAAACCACAGGGCCGCGCCCTTGTTGTCGATGGTAAGACGCTGACCTATATTTTGGATCGGCGCTCGAACCTGACCAAGCCGTTCCTCAAGTTGACCACGGCTTGCAATTCGGTGTTGTGCTGTCGGGCTACGCCGCTCCAGAAGGCCTACATTGTCAAGGTGGTCAAGGAGGAGCTGAAAATGCGCACCTTGGCCATTGGAGATGGTGCCAACGACGTCTCCATGATTCAGACTGCCGATGTTGGCATAGGTAATGAGTCGGCGACACATTGTACATATTGTACCATAATATTGTTCGCGTTGCAGGGATATCCGGCCAAGAAGGGATGCAAGCAGTGATGGCAGCCGATTTTGCCCTCTCTCGCTTCAAGTATCTGGAGCGCTTTTTGCTGGTACACGGCCACTGGAGCTACGACAGGCTCTCTAAAATGGTGCTCTACTTTTTCTACAAAAACGCCGTAAGTGGACTTTAATGTGCAAGTGGCATCGGTTACGAGCTCACTCTTAATCTCTGCTGCAGACGTTTGTGTTCCTGATTTTCTGGTATCAATTCTACTGCGGCTTTTCGGGCTCAGTGATGATCGACCAGATGTACCTGATGCTTTACAACCTGCTGTTCACGTCGCTGCCTCCTATCGCGATCGGTAATTAATAGCGACTGGAAACGCAAACAGTGGTCAACTAGTGCCGTTGCAGGTGTCTACGACCAAGACGCTCCTTATCGGCTGCTGAGGGACAATCCATATCTGTACAAGAGGGGCCGCTTGGGTCGCGCGTATCGGACGTACTCCTTCTGGATGACGATGGCGGACTCGCTCTACCAAAGTGTGGTGGTTTTCTGGCTCTGCAAGATGGCGTACGAAGGAACGGACGTGGATATTTTCGAGTTTGGCACCGCCACTACTACGGCCTGCATGTGCGTGATGCTTCTGCATGTCTCTATTGAGACCAGATCATGGGTGAGTACGTCAATGGGTTGAATTTGTTTGTTGCAACAGCAGTTTCTGGTCCTTAGACGATCATCCATGCGGCGTCGATTTTTTGCTCAATTGGTGCCTTTTTTCTCTACTCGCTGACCTACAACACCTTCTGTGTGAATTGCTTTGGACTGCCCAGCACCTACTGGACAATTCAGATTTCCATGCACAGGCCTCAGTACTGGCTGGTCACGCTTCTGGCTTGCGTAGTCGCTGTTCTTCCCAGGTAAACCCCATTTTATAAGATGAATCCAAGAAATAGGATGAACGGTTTTGAATGAATCATTGTTGTCGGTTTCAGACTGCTGTTTCGCGTGTGTCAAACCATGTTTGCACCCGACGAGGTGACCAAAGCGCTGCTCGCCGAACGAAAATCGCAACGACGAGGTGAGAAGTTTTTGGTTTCTTGGTCGCGCTCCACTTCTACGTCCTCGATTTACAGGTACTCGTAGGCGTAGAAGTTTTTTGCCAAATCTTATGCTGTGATGCTTCATTTTTTCTCTACTGCAAGCACGGACGTTAACTATTTCTATTTAACGATTGCTCTTTGCGTTAGTTGCCTAATAAAACTGCTTAATGTTCGATTGCACGTACAGGGTTATTGATTGAACTTTAGCAACCCCGTTTTAACATCTAATTTGAAATTTAGAGAAAAATGCTAAACACAAAAGTTGTAGATATTAAGGTCTAGTTTAGTTTAAGATAATACTAATTGATACAGGGTGTCTCAAATTCAAGTGGCAGACCAAACTTACCTTTTTTTTTTAATGGAATGCCGTACTTTTTATTGCATATTCGAACTGTTCGCACAATTCTAGGCCTATTCGATATAAATGTTCTATAATTATTTTTAACTGTTTTTGAGTCAATAACCAATATTGATTGAACTTTGGCCCCCCGTTTATGCAGCTAATTTGAAATTTATAGCAAAATATTATATACAAAAGTTGTAGATTCAAGTGCCTGACCAAACTCAAATTTTTATAAATGGAATGCCCGAATATTTAAATGGTTATTAACTCAAAAACCGTTGAAGATCAATATAGAAAATGTATATCAAAGAGGACTGGAATTTTGCGTATAGTTGGAATATGTAATAACAAGTGCGCGATTCCATCTAAAAAATTGTAAGTTTGTACCGCCACTTGAGTTTGAGACACCCTGTATCAATTGGTATTATCTTACAATAAACTAGACGTTAATATCTAAAACTCTTGTATTTAATATTTTTCTCTAAATTTAAAATTAGATGTTAAAACGGGCTGGCCAAAATTCAATCAATATTGGTTATTAACTCAAAAACAGTTAAGAGTCAATATACATGGTGTTCGGTAAATATGTTAAAATATTTTAGCAGCCTGTTCTTCCAGTCATTTTAGAGGGGGGTTTTCCTGAGAATTTTTTTAATTTAAGGTTTCATTGCTGAGATATTTGATTTTCAAAATGGCGGAAAATATTAGTTTTTGTTGTTGTTTTAGTCAGTATTGTTTGTGTTCTTTCAAACGGTTAAACGTGTAAACTTCAATTTTGGTGCCATTCTATGGTAGTGTTTTGTGGTTCAGTTTACTTTTATACAGGATAGAAATGTGGAACCCCTACTTTTATTTTGTTCAGAACTTTTTTGTGTGCATATAGACTTTTATCCGCATATATTTTTTTAATACTACAAATTGTTTGCCTACTTTTTTTACCTCTTATTGTTTTTTCCTAAGACCACTAGTTTGCCCGCAAAAAAATAAAATCGTTTTCTTTGCGTTCTCAAAATGTGTAAGTAATTAAGTTTGTTTTTAAAATCTAATAACATTTTCATATGACAATTTTGCTACGCATTATTAGTTAATTATTGTCAACCTAAATTATTTTTCGAAAATGTGTGTTTCGGTTCAAATTACAATTAATAAGTTTTAATAAATTTAACTAAACTTACTTAACTTGAAAACTGTTAGCAGCCGCAGTAAAATTTTTGACAATGAAAACTAAACGATATTTAACTGTCATAGACACAGCCTCCTTTGCTTATTGCACTTTTTGTATTCAAACGTTATTAAATAAAAATCCCTTAGTTACGTACTTACACATTTGGAGAACGGCAAATAAAACTATTTTATTTTTTTGTGGGCAAACTAGTGGTCTTAGGAAAAAACAATAAGAGATTAAAAAGGTAGGTAAATAATTTGTAGTAACTAAAAAACCATGCTGATAAAAGTTGAAGTGCATACAAAAAAGTTCTGATCAAAACAAAAGTAGGGGTTCACATTTCTACCCTGTATAAAAGTAAACAGAACCACAAAACACTACCATAGAATGGCACTCAATTAGATTATCATGTATACCAAAATTGAAGTTTACACGTTTAACCGTTTTAAAGAACACAAACAATACTGACTAAAACAACAACAAAAACTAATATTTTCCGCCATTTTGAAAATCAAATATCTCAGCAATGAAACCTCAAATTAAAAAAATTCTCAGGAAAACCCCCTTCCAAAATTACTTGAAGAACACGCTGTTAAAATATTTTAACATATTTACGGAACACCCTGTAGAACGTTTAAATTGAGTAGGCCTAGAATTTTACGACTATCTGGAATACGCAATAAAAAGTACGGCATTCTATTTAAAAAATGTAAGTTTGATCTGCCACTTGAATTTGAGACACCCTGAATCAATTGGTACTATCTTAAAATAAACTAGACGTTAATATCTACAACTTTTGTATTTAACATTTTTCTCTAAATTTCAAATTAGATGCAAAAACGGGGTGGCCAAAGTTCAATCAATAAACCTGTACATGAGGCGCACCTACTTCACAAAAATACATAACAAATGTAATTTAGCTGGAAAAATAATGCTTTTTACATTGTAGGAGAACCAGTAACCGGACTCAGAATAACCCTTTAGCGACAGTGGGTTGAGACCCGCAGACGGATGAACGACTCATCAAGTATAGATCTTGCATTTATCGGCTGTGATGCATATATTTAAGGGACCAACCAAGGGATTTTTCAGTCTTGTTATACTTTCAAAGACCGTTTGTTTTATAAAGCAGTGTTTAGTTTGCTTAATGTCTGGACAATCTCTTTATTTGCTGGTAAAAGCACCAAAAGTGAATAGATTTTCCACTAAGCAGGCACACACACATAGTTTCACTTGTGCCATTTCAGTCATAATTTGCACGTAATTCCAGGAACATTAGGTACTTATTTATTGTAGAAAGGCCGCACTGACAGTTACCATTACTTTATTTACTTAGTAGGCCGACATTTGCGAAGCAGGTCCGTTTTGCTATGTTAATTAGAGTGTAGTAGAATATTAAGAAAGTTGACAATATTTCCTAGCTTATGGCGACTGGCTGAGTGCTGGGAAAAACTGATCAATTTTACCCAACTATGTGGGAAATTCTTCCTAGTGATACTGTTACTTCTTTATTTTGATTCATTTTACTGACTGCCTGTAATTGTTATTATATTTTTTCTTTCCTGAGTTTCTATAAGTTTTTATTAGATTTTTTTAGGCCTGGCTGTCTTCACAACCTCCTCTCTTTGAGGTCTTGAAAACACCCAAGCCAGAAAAGATTCTAATGTTTCCCAATTATGGGTTTGTTTTGAATTTCAAATCTGATGATCTGATGCTGTTGTCTCGCCGAAACGTAAACCTATGAAATAAACGATATGAACATTTTTATTTCATATTTTGACTGAAACGCAGGACAAAAAAATATAATAACTGTTACTTGTTCCGAGACTTTTTAAATTGCACCTCTTTAAAGCCATATATCCTCTTTTGTCTATAATCCATAGTTTTCTTATTGCTGTCAGTACAGATTCTTAACCAGAAGTATGCAGCAGTAATTGATATTAACTTGCCAAACTGTTAGCACAATTTGTTATTTACATAGTTTATATTTTTATAAAACCGTTGTTAGACGTTCGTTCGATTAGCTGAGTTGATGCGAAAGTTAGTCTTCCTCGTTTTGCACATTTACTTTCTCATTGCAGATCTATGGTCAATTTCAACTATACCCAGTACAAAAGCATTATCCTATTTTTTACGTTCGTGTATAAAGTACGTGTGGTTTGACTAACGACAAATGCCTTAAACAATTTCTATCAAGTGATGTTTTACACGTGTTTACTATTTTAGATAAATTGAATATAAATATTGTTAAGGTGAATGTCTATTTTTTGGTTTCCCCTACGAATTCTCCCCGGCACGGCATCATGAGATGCGACACCCTCTTAATAAAAGTAGGATTTTCAAATATTTTTTATTCATTTTATATAATACTTAACACTAAATTTATGCTAATCTATATGTTCAAGTAATAAATTAGGAGGGAGTGTTGAATAAGTTTTTCTCTTGCTTTAATCTTTATTGCACTGGCATGGGTAAGATTGTCAGGAGCCAGCACGCGCAAACACACACACACCCCACAAGGTTGTGGAATGTAACACATGAAAAACAGACGATATATAAATTATAAATATAATATATAAAAACAAACAGGGGGATATCCCGCACAAGGATAACGACCGCCATCACATTAGCAACCAGCACGAGTCTGGCACTTATAAATCTATGATTCTATACAGGCGATGCTAAAAGTTTCACAATCGTAAAAAACGACCAAACCAAAAAAAGTTGCGTAGCGGTGCCTCAGATAGGCGGGGGGGGAACAATCCATAATAAAACACAGCCTCGCAAAGCCCAAAATACTTTACGGTATTTCCTCAATCACTTAAGTTAATATTCACTAAAATATTCACAGTATGATACAATTCTTATATAACATATATACAAAATGTAAACTTTTATATACACGTAAGTAATTTACTTATAGGTATATACAATAGCTGCTCAAAGCATATCACTTGACTTTATGTCTCCCGAGTTTCAACTCTGAGAACGAAAGAAAAAATGAAAGAACAACTCATGAGGCTTTCATGACCTCGCCAACAATGTCCCGAAAAAAGCTCACTGCTTAACAGCGAGCTGCCGAACGTAACAATCGATGCATCGGAACTTACGAACCACTCAATCAAGTGCCGACCCAATATCAACAATTCGAAGCATTGTTCTTACATTTTTCTAGATCCTTTGTTCCCACTTCGGTCCCGTCGTTGGGGAACAGCCCGGGTATTTTGAGGCCGCTTTGCACGCGCCTTTTTAATTTTATCTTTTTATTCCTGACGGTTTCCAAACCGTCATTCGTCAGCAACCTTTCTACACGAGGAGGCTAAAAGGGTTCGACACCACTAGAGCTGTTCAACGAACTTGCTCAGCTGATCCTGAGGAGTCATCGCTGGCATATCGTCTTGGTTTGAAGCGCCCGCTGGACTCTGATGCGGATGCAGAGCTGAATGGTTTTGCCCCAACAGCAATTCTGTTGAAGCGAGATCATGGGGCGAGGGCTGAGGACCTCGCGGACTTGCAACTGTCTGGTTGCGCGGAGACGGTGACGGTCTCGACGAAGGACTCGGCTGCGGACTTCTGGAAAACGAGCTAGTGCAATTTTGCGTTCGATCCTTTCGCTCACAACATCTTGATGGTACACAACTCGAACTAAATTGCCCCTAGCGGTAAATATGGTGCCCACCGCCCCAACCCTAACTGAAGCACCAACTCACCCAGTTGAATAGGTACTACTTATGGAAGAAATACCTTATAGGTGGAGGACTCCGGACGGTTTGCATCAGTTGCTGTTGGACCGAGGAGATTCCCTGACCCTGAGGAGGGCCCATCATCCCTTGCGGTGACGGAACTGGTGGAGGAGTCGGCTTCAAACCCTGCATCGGAGGGTACTGCTGCTCATTGAAGGCATTGTTATAGCCCATGTGTGGTTGTCGAATACCAGGCAACCTTTGCTGGTAGGCCCCGGGCTGCTGAAAGTTCGCTTGTTGTTGTTGTTGCTGCTGCTGCTGCTGCTGTTGTTGTTGTTGTTGTTGTTGTTGTTGCTGCTGCTGCTGCTGTTGTTGCTGTTGGGCCGCGGCTTGCTGTTGTTGCTGCTGCCTTTGCAATGCCAAAATCTGCTGATGCTTGTACCTAAAATAGTTTATTTCTTGATGTTTGCTTATTCAATGCTTGTCTGGACGTTTTTCTTACCATTGCTGCTGCTGAGTCAAAGGCTGATTAGGACCTCCTGGCACTTGGTTGATTCCAGGTTGCCCAGGATTTAACAAACCTCCTTGAATTGCCATACGAGCGGGATGCTGTTGTTGTTGAGCAGCAGCGTTTTGTTGCGTCAGAATGTGTTGCAGTTGTTGAGGAGGATTACCTCCGCTGGCTTGCAATTGTTGCGTCTGTTGAACATGCTGAAACAATAAAATCACTAACAGACATTTTTATTTAAATAAAATGTAGAGTTAAATAAGCAATATTTAACGCTGTGCAGTTCTAAAAAAAACTCAAACAAGTTACTATAAAAATCAATGAATATATTAATTTAATTACCCTTCTATTTTGTTTTCAATTGCTAATCAAATAATGTGAGACAATTTCACGGCACCCGCAAAAGCGGCGACTTTTATAGCGCGACAAACTGTCGCTGAAAATGGAACTAATGATTTTAAATAGTCAGTCCCTTACACGAGCGACTTTTTGTAGCCGCTTCTAGCGTCTGCGAGCGATAGTCGCCGAGGATGGAAGCTGTTCCATTCTCAAGGTCTAAGAGCCGTTTCAGAAGGGCCACTCTGCAGCGCTTCTGTGGCGTTAGTGGTTGACTTCAACCGAGAAGCGCGTCGAAACGAAGCGCCACTGATAGCGATACATTGGTTCAAATGCTGGCGTTCACACGAGCCACTTCAGTCTGCTTCAGGTTAACGTGCGCTTCTTAGCAGTGCCACTGAGAAGCGCTGCAGAGTGACCCGTGTGAAATGGCTCAAAAAGACGCTAGCGATTGTGGCCTGGATCGAACTCAAGCAGGGTTCTCAAGAGTCCGGAATGCGAAAACCCTTCCGACCAATCAAAAGTTTGCCGGATGGGTTAACTCCGCCCATTCGCATGACTCACTGCCATGTTGCCGCTTTGCACATATTTGGATTTTAACCGCCTGGCCTTGCTCGATTAGTTACGCCTAACCTCAGAAAAGTCGTTTACTTTTTTTAGTTTGTGGCGAACTCTATCCGCCACTTCTCAACTAGCAGCTCCAACCGAAATGCCAGCTATATCTCACCGCATAACATCTGTGGCGTTTCGATTCAAATAGAACTTCCAACCTATGTTCCGTAACCGGCGTCTAAGGCAGGGCCTACCTAAGCCTTACTGACGAGTCCAATAGGTAGGCCCGGGACGAAACACATGGTGCTTCAACGCGCGCCATATTGGTGACCCCGACGTGATCTGAAGCCGCAGGAAGACAGGGCCGCAACATGGATCGCCTTTCTCGTTCTGCCCCGATACGACCGACTCACTGGTACACTTCGGCAACATTGGCCCGTCCATTCTCGCTCACCTTGCTCTCACCTGCTCACTTCAGTCAAAAATAATTTCTTCCAACGCTTTCAGCCCTCGCTCATATATCTCTCTCTCTCTCTCTCGTCATCACACAACTCCATCAACGTTGTCACTAGGAGGGGAGTCCTGTGGCGAACTCTATCCGCCACTTCTCAACTAGCAGCTCCAACCGAAACGCCCGCTATATCTCACCGCATAACAGCTGTGGCGTTTCGATTCAAATAGAACTTCCAACCTATGTTCCGCAACCGGCGTCTAAGGCAGGGCCTACCTAAGCCTTACTGACGAGTCCAATAGGTAGGCCCGGGACGAAACGCATGGTGCTTCAACGCGCGCCATAAGTTAATTGTTTGTGGTTAATGTTTGTTTGTGTTTAAGATGCAATCTTATAGCAGAAATCTGCCCGCAGCAGATATTTTTTTTCTTAACCGTCCACACAAGTCCTGGCTGATTGCGCTTGCGCGTCTCACTGCCATGTCGCCGCTATGCACATAAAATTGTTATGCTGCATATTTTTCTGATTTTTCACAGGCATGGATATAATTAAAGTGAAGGTCATAGACAAAATTTAAATATATCTGTTCATTATTTTAGGAAGCAGAAAACAATAAAAAACAAACAAGATCCATGACTATTAAATCTCCAAGGACCCAAATCTTTACTGCGGGAACTAATTGTATAAGACACTAACGATGAAATTTGCATCAGTTTCAGCAACAGCCACTGAACTAAAAACGTGCTAGAATCCACAAGCCGTGTTTTTCTGAGGTTATAATTTCGTTCGCAATGAAAGTATTTAACCGACAATGAGACGCGCAAGCGCAATTAGCCAGGACTGGTGTGGACGGTTAAGAAAAAAATATCTGCGCGGCGTGCGGAAGAATGTTTAAAACTAGGTTACCTCCAGTGAAAGGTTATGTTCAGCGGCGTCTATTCGACCGTCTTTCATTTTGATGTCTTCGTTTCCTTCTTTTTAGAACGTACAAAGACAAAAGCAGATTTAACTTTTGGTTTCAAACGTTCATTTCATGCGCCTCAAAATACTGGCAAGAAAAAATGTAGAAAAAGAGTTGAATCGTGTCTCGCTTCCCGAAAGATATGCCCACACTGTCGGTGGAAGATGGAAAAATAATCCGGATACATGCAAACTGCGTGAATTTTTCCGCGCATAGTAATGGTAGTAGTAGGCTGCGCATGCACTTTCCGCACAGCATTCCGGACTCATGAGAACCAAGCTTCAGATGAATTTGTTTACTTAATTTGGCTTGTACCGAAACGGCATGGTGGCACTTTTCACGAGATACAAGTAGGTATTCGATACTTTTGATTTCGATACCGAGTACTTTGGTAATTGAATCGTTCTTTCGAAACAAATACTTGGTATCGAATCGAATCGAATCGTCAAAATCGTGTATACACTATACAAATTCCGTTGAGGAACTTGAGATGGATAAAATGTTCTAAATTAGAAAACATGTTGGAGGGAAAAAGTTTGGTTGATGCTATTACGGCTAGTATAACATACCCCAAAAGCACTTTAGAAGAAGCATTTTTACAAGTTTCGGCCAATAAAGAAAAATTTTAGTACTTTAGAAAATATTTTTAGTACTTTTTCTTTATTGAATATAATAGATATATCTATTTTGGAGAGAGGTTCAAAATACAACAAAATAGTGCAGGCTTTAGCGTTGTTTGTCTGCAATTATTTGCGGCCTTCCAACATTGTGGAATCCATACCTGGTGCAGCTTATTTAAAAAAGATGACCCAAGAAAAATGTGAAGCTTGTGTAGCTATAGCTAAAGCTAAATTATCAATGATTGACAATATTTGTCTCAGATTGGAAATTTGGACAGAAACAATAAACGCGCGAGGTTTGCATGCATATGCTCTATCTAGCTACTCGTACGCTCAATGAAATATTTGCCCAGTTTGGCTCACACAATAAATCACATTGTTGAAGATGCTTTTAAATGACCAAACGTGAAAACAGGTACAGTGAAAGCTCTACTTGCGGACAGCTCTAATAAGCGGACATCTCTCTTAACCGGACATTTTTCTTGGAACCGAATTTCGTCATATGGTTTTCAACGTAAAACACTTTCTTATAAGCGGACATTCTATTAAACGGACGCGGACATGATATTATGATCATACGGAGTTGAAAAGCTCTTACAAGCKGACACGAACCTGTAAAACGCGGTCTATGAATAAAACCATTATCATAAATAGGCGATTTTCAATCGGGAAATTCTTTCACATATTCCGTAATTCCCCGTTTAAGATGTTTTGACTTGACTTACTTTATTCATCGAGGATAGTGCCATTAAGTTTCGAGCACATTTAGAGAGTGTTTGTGAACATGGCTCCGAAAATGAAAATGCTTTCCTTAAAAGAAAAAATGTAAATATTAAATGCTTTAGATAAAGAAACAGTGTCCGTTCGAGAACTAGCAAGGCGATTTAAGATCGGAAAAACTTAAGCGGCAGAAATAACAAAAAAAAAGAAGATATTAGAACAAAATCGCAGTGTGGTGACAATGTCGGGCAAAAGAGGAGTTTCTTAAAAAGTGATGGTCTTGACATAGATAAAAAGAGTTTAGACATGGATACTGGATGTTGCTTGGCTACAAGCCGGAGGACGTTTTTAACGCAGATGAGACCGGACCTTTCTTTCGTGCATTATCAGACAAAACTTTAACATTAAAATCTGAGAAATGGACCGGCGGTAAGTTCTCTAAAGAAAGACTCACCATTTTGTTTTGCGAATCGATGGCTGGTGAAAAGGAGGATTTATTAGTCATAGAAAAATCAGCTCGCCCTCGCCCTTTGAAAAATATTGCCATCCAAGATTTGCCAACAATTTGGAAATCAAACAAGAAACCGTAGATTGACTCAAGATATTATGTCAGAATGATTGTTTCAGTTCGATAGAGAAATGGGGATTTAGAAAAGAAGAGTGTTCTTATTTCTAGATAGATCTAAAAAAAGTCAAAGTTATATTTTTGCCCCTAAACACCACTTCTATATGTCAGCACTGGACCAAAGCATCATTAAAAACTTCAAATTTTATAATAGAGATCTTATTCTAAAACATGTATTAATTTAAATTAACCCTTCCAAGTCTGTGTCTGAGGTGCCCATTAATGTAATAGAGGCTTCATATTTCATAAAGACCGCATGGAATAAAGTAAATTCTGCAACAGTCAAGAATTGCTTTATAAAAGCTGGATTCAAGAAGATAGAAGGAGAAATTCCACAAGATTCTAATCCAGAAGATGAGCTGCCTTTGTCATTATTAGCTGGAACAACGCGTCATGCTAAATCCTTAGGTTCAAGTGATGAACAAGCACAAGGATTTGTAAACATGGATCATATGGTGCAGACTGAAGAGGAAACGTTTCATCCTGATACCACCGCCCTTTCCAAAACTGAACTTTCCATGAGTAATGATGATGACGAATCAGAAGAAACGTTGACAATTGTATCCGATGCGTCACTTATAAAATCGTATGATGATGCCTTAAATGCAATTCCCCTTTTAAAAATATTTTCAACCGATGATTTTATTGCGTTTCAACATATTAAATGAAGCTTGAAACCCATTTTCAGCATTGGATTATTCCACAAAGATTTCAAAAAACGCGCCAAACTAGTATTTTAGAATATGTTAATAAACCGGCACAATAAGTTTCTATATTTCTATGTTGAAAAATGTTATAAAACATATACATATAGACAATAAAAAAGCTGAAAATAAATATTTCTTTTTAATTAAATACATATCTCTATTATGCGGACACCTCCCATAACCGGACATTTTTTGTGGAACCGTGACTGTCCGCTTATCGGAGCTTTCACTGTATATCTAAGGTTTGTGAAATTGTTCATTTAATAAAAACGGTGCGTATTAATGGTTATAAACAGTCAGTTTTAAAACTTATCGCCGATGTCAAAACAAGATGGAACTGAATAATATATTTGAAAAATGACCCATTGGAAAACATGCAAACGGTATTTCCCAACTTTTATTTCTGTTTATTTCTTAAAGCTGGTGCTGCTATACCGCACAATAGAAATAGTCCATGTCCCCAAAATATTTGCAGCAACCGATTTTTTTGGAAAACCATCAGAAAATAATATTTTATTGTTTACTTTATGGCAATAAATGCATTAAAATATATTCCATGAATTTTATTACAATCCCTCCATTAAACGGCTTTTTTACAGTTAAAATTCACGGTAATAGTGAATTTCGGTCTTGACAAACTCATCAAAAATGAATACTTAGGCCCGTTTGCACCGTTGAAAATAAGCTTGGATTGGCCATTAAGCTCAGCTTTAAAATAAAATTAGTTTGCACCACATTATAAACCAGGCTTACAGCATTCAAAGTTCGTCTTACATTAAGCCGTCAACTCTGGTGGCTTGTGGTGTAAGCCGTAAATTCTAACCTTCGTTTATCGTCCTCATACATGTGAGGATAGTTGACAAAATTGAAAATTCCGATAACAAACAAAAAACAAAAACAATGGATATCGAAACTTGTTTTGATATATTTGAAGACGATCTAGATATCTTTGAGATAATCGAATTTGGATTTCCAAAGACGATATATAACAGAAATAATCCATTGGGGGACTTGGAGAAACTAACTTTTTTTAAATATTTGGGTTCTACAAAACCACCACAAATATAAATGAATTGGATTATTTAATTGATATTGGTCAATTGCAAAATGAAACCATAAATAACCTTCAAAATCACCGCAACACTACACTACAATTCATTAATTATTTCCAAATTTTGCGTCAAACTTTTAGTCTATCAGTACAAAATACCTATATAAAATTATTTAATAAAAAATTGTTAAAAAACAGATGTATTTAAAATATGGACGTTGGGTTGGAAAACCAAGATTCCTAATGTCCGTATGCACCGACAGACTTTAATCACGATTAAGCCTTAAACCGGTTTAAAAATCGTAAACGGTATGCACCGTCGACTGTTTTGACCTTAAACGCGTTTAACTTTAATCCGCCCACGTCCGAGGATTAAGTTCTTAAACTAGTTTAAGATAAAGATGAGGTTTTGTTTTCGTCCTAGCAAATTCTAGTCGGTTCGGGTGTTAACCACCTGGAAAATGGAGTTGGAAGAATAAATGATCTTAGACGATGATATTGATGTTTTAGAAATAATTGATTATGGTTTTCCAAGGAGACAATTACTCCGGACGCTCTAGTCTCTAAAGCAGGAACTGGGTGCCCTGGAATTGAAATTAATTTCTCCTTTTTTCCTCAATCAATAGATTGGTACGGTGCAAGCCTGCCGTTTCGGTACAAGCCAAATTAAGTAAACAACTTCATCTTGCGCTACCACAATTTTGTCGCCCGTCTGCTTGATCCCGTTCAGTCGTTTGAGTTCGATCCAGGCTACAATCGCTAGCGTCTTTTAGAGTCTTTTCGCACGGGTCACTCTGCAGCGCTTCTCAGTGGCGCTGCTAATAGGCGCACGTAAACATTGTATCAACCACTCTGCAGCGCTTCTCGGTGGCACTGCTGAGAAGCGCACCTTAACCTGAAGCAGACTGAAGGGGCTCGTGTGAACGCCAGCATTTGAACCAATGTATCGCTATCAGTGGCGCTTCTCGGCGGTAGTCAACCACTGAACGCCACAGAAGCGCTGCTAAATTGGTAGTCCGGCCTTGGTCGCGCCCGTGTGAATAGCTCCATGTAAAACAATGTACCTTCAAAACGAGCTTCCCAGCAGCGCCACTGAGAAGCGCTACAGAGTGGCCCGTGTGAAAGACTCTTAGACGCTGCGTCTAAACTTGAGAATGAAACAGGTTCCATTCTCCGCGACTGTCGCTAGCAGACGCCAGTAGCGGCTACAAAAAGTCACACGTGTGCGGGACTGTATTTAAAATGAGTTCCATTTTTAGGGTCAAAACTGTCGCGCTACAAAAGTCGCCCGTCTGCGGGTGACCTGACTGTCGCTCGCAGACGCTAGTATGTAACGGCTACAAAAATGCGCTCGTGTGCGGGATTGTATTTAAAATGATTTCCATTTTTAGCGTCAAAACTTTCGCGCTACAAAAGTCCAAAAACCAATGTTTCATCAAACAACCTTTTTCAAGTAGTATACCAACAAAATATCTACTGACCTGGCGCTGCTTAATAAAAGCAGCCATCAACTGAGGATTGGCCTTAAGAATTGACAAAATCTGCTGCTGTTGTTCTGGGCTTTGAGGAGACTTTAGCGTCTGCATCAGTTGCTGCAGCGCTAATTTCTGATTCATGCCCCCAGCAGCGTTGCCCATTGGTCCCCCTGCCACGTTTCCAGCCATCTGAACGCCCGGCCGGAGTTGATTAATCGCTTGCCCAGTACCGACTTGGCCTGTAGCAGCCATCGGTGCCGCACCAGGATTCATCGGTTGACCGCCGGGCTGTCGGATGCCAGGTCCTATTGCGCCTGGATATCGTTGCTGCCACTGATCCATTGGTAAAAGATTTCCACCTGAAAATAGATTTGCAAGTTGATCGTAAAGTATACGTATGTAAAACACCAGCATGTACCTTGATTACCACCAAGATGAGTTGGCATTCCTCTGATTGAAGGAGGAGGCATATTTTGTCCAGATCCTTGTCCCGGAACACCCTTTCCGTATCCTACATGTGGTGCCTGTTGTCTAGCAGCCTCTTCCTGAACCTGTTTGACGACTTGCAGCACGTTAGCAGGAGGTGGTTGGGTACCTGGCTTTAGGCCGATACCTGATTGATGCGAAGACGGCATCCCCATGGTGGAATTAGGCAATCCTAAATGTTCACAGGATATTCTGTTAGTAAAAAAACCATTTCATTAGTAAAATATTAAACACTACCTGAACTGATTCCTCCAACAGGACTCACAGCACCTGGCACAACTTGTTGCCCAACTGCTCCAACTTGAAGATTGCTTGAATTAGTACCCTGCATCACATTGGACGAAGATGCAGTTCTCGTCATTACAGCCATCCTACGGCGCAGCAATTGCGCCTGTTGCAACCTTTGTTGTAATTGTTGCTGTTTAAGCCTGTGTTTAATGTTTGGACAGAATGGCACCGGGCACTAGAAGTAAATGTACAGATAAGACCCAGAAAAGAGGTACAATGGTTGCTCCTTACCTTATTCTCAGGACAGCTCTTTGCATGATAGCAACATAAAGCAATAAGTTGTTTGCAGATAGGGCAACCTCCATTCGTCTTTCTTTTGCATGCTTTTGTATGGTTTACGACACGGCTCATCTTCTTGCAACTCGGCAAGCGACAGTTGGCATCCCTGCATTGGCAAGCGTGAACCAAGGACTGTATGCATCTCTGAAAATGTGCATGATGAGAAATTATTCACGAATTCACAGCATCTGCATTCAGAGACTGAATCAAATCCTGGTTACTAACTGACCTGAATAGACAATTTCCTAGCTTCCTGAGGATTAGTCTTATTGTTATCACTTGGAGAGCTGGCATCATCCAACAGGCCTAACTTCTCCATGCGATGTTGATGCCCGACCTTTTCGTAACACTTGATACACAGATCAAAGTCCTCGCACAACGTACAATGGTACCTAGTCTCTACGTGCGCCTTACACTCGTTGCAAGTATATACGAATTTATCTTGGCCTTGATTATGTAGTTCATAGAGCATAGACATGGTGCTGTATTTTGCGCGTCTTAGCGAAGAAAATTCATAATGCTTTTCCCGAGCAAGAGTCAGAAAAGCATCACGACCATCCATCAAATCGCAACTGATAAATGAATCGGGATCTTGAATAGGCTAAAAGTATAGTTCATATTGCTAAGTATGGTTTTGAAAAATCTATCAGTAAATGCAAAAACAGTTGAATATGTTCTGCCTCTGAAAGACACATCTGAAAAACAAAAATATTAAGCTTACCTTCAAACTAGCTGCCGATTGAACAGAATGCAGTCTAATAACAAAGAATACATCTTTATGCTTTTCCATAGTGGAGAATATTTTTGCAGACAGATCATTGCCTGTTTGCGGAGTATTTGATTTTTTATTATTGCTTTTTCTTTGGTTTGCTTTGGATTTCGTGCTTTTCTTTGCCTTCTTTTGGCCTTTCTTTTTACCGTCGGGTCCAACTTCACTTTCCTCCATAGACGAGAATATCTAACATAAAGAAATACAGTTATTTCAAATTATAAAAACAGTAGTGATCAGACACTCACTGCTGCTTCGGCGGCTTCGGCTTGTTTTCGCTTTTCCTCTTCCTCCTGGTCAAGCTCCTTGATACTTTCTTCGAGAACGTTGGGCCAGAAGTCTCCCTCGAAATAAGGAAGGTCAGCTGCCGATCTCAAGTTGTCCTCCATGGCTTGCTTAAGAATGTCCTGTGAATCGTGGATTTATATACAATGTTACATAGTTTGTAAAATAAAACGTTACCTTATAGTCAAGAATAATTCGCTCGATGATGCCTTTGTCCAGCATCTTTTTGTACCAGTCTTGCAATCTCTTAGGTTTAGGAATTTTTTGATCTGGAGGATGGCAGTGAAAAATGTAATCATCACCTTCGCTGGGCGGGCAAGCCCAAATGTGCGCCATTGTGTAACCCAACTGTTTCACGTAATCTAAATAGCCCAGTAGAATTTCGTGGTACACTGCAGTCCTGAACTGTTTTGGCTTAAAAAAGTGCACCGAGTCCAAATACGCAATATAAACTCGACGCGTATTCGGCGATGGACATTCACTTCCGTATTCTTGAACGTGCATGCCAAAGAAACACACATCGACCCCGTCAATTTCTTCAAAGGCAAACAGGGCTTTCGCTCGATATGGAAATTTCGAAGACAACTCCCCACTTTCTACGAACTTGCTTCGCATACCGGGCTTCACTTCTACCATTTTTTCACTGCTGGACACCACGCGAATGTGGACTTCGCCAGCGCCAGCTTCCTTCTTCTTGAGGAACATGTTTACGCGGCTCTCAATGTACATGCCCAAATTAGTAACTGGCAACCGTTTGGCGTTGAATTTATTATCTCTTCGGTTTTGGTTCTTTACTTTGAAGCACTCCTCACAAGTGAAGCCTTGCGACCATATAGCTTCGTGATGAAGCACGCAAATCCGATGCAATTTTCGTCCACAGTCTGTGCAATTCACAAATTCCTCCATCTCTAGATGATCGTTTTTCATCTCCATAAATTGGTCCTTCTTTATTGCACTAAAACACAACATTCAATAACGGTTACGACATTTTCACGAGCAAGTAACTTACGTTTGTGCCTGTGTGGGATCGTCTCCTAACGTCACAGTATCGCCCTGTATATCATTGAAGCACTTTTGACAAAATGTGTACCTGTCTGAACCAAGGCCATAAGCTTTCAGACTGCAATACAATTGGTAATCAGTAAACGAAATGCATCAGTTGCGCTTGAATCTTACTTATTCTGGTAACTGTAGTATTTTGCGTCTCGTGGAATTGTGCACAACTGCTTCCCGTAGCAGCACAGTACTTGCGGATTGAATGTGTATTTCCGTCCACAACAATAACCCATTGACTGCATGACAGGGTCGATTTCCATCTCAAACACTTCCGACAGCTAAAACACGGCGTACTAGTAGAAATTTGTCCGAAACGGATCGAATAAAGATGGCTTACCTTTGTACAGTATCTGTACACACGGTTAGTCTTTCTGTTGTATAGCCAGGCATTGTCAAACATCAGCCAGACATCGTCCACATACTCCCAGGGATCTTGGTATTGCCCAATATCCAGTTTCCGCTTAATGGTCGACAAATCCATAGGCCTCTTTACGATGTCAAAGTAATCGGGAATGCCCAATGTTTGTGGATCTACTGGCTGTCTAAAAGGTATACTTTCCGGATCCTGCCTGTATAGCTTTTCTAAAGTTGGCATGAGTTTCTGTCGCAATTCATCAGGTTTAAAAACTAAAAAAAAAAACGCAAATACTGTATGCTAGAATAACTTCAAAGTATGCGTGCAAAATATACCTTTTGTTCTCTTGCCACCCTCTGAGCTAGACGCACCAGCACCACCATCCAAAGGTTTAACATCAGCAGCGGTTTCAGACGTCTGCCCACCCACTTCTATGGGATCCTCTTTAACAGTAACATCTTCTTGCATGGATTCCATCTTGATGTCCGTTTTCATTTCAGATTTGATGTCATTACTCATGTTCTTTCCGCCAGAGCTGGATTCGTATTGCGAGTCGTGTTGCGAACCATCGTCCATTTCTTGCTTAATTTCCATCGGTTCAGACTTTATTTGATCTAATTTGCCTTTGTTGCCTTCGGAGGCTGGCGGTGAGTCGTCGTTATTCTCCGAAGCAGCCAATAAGGCTGCCATTTGCGAGGACAAAGAAGACTGTCTGGAGGAATTCTGCGCCGCCCTCTCCGCACTAGTCATGCCCTTCCCATGGCCCGCTGATGTATTAGGCGATGCTTGTATTGGCGTTGCTGGAGCGGTAGGCGAAGTGCCCCTAGACGAATTTACTGATTTCGGACCTGGTGTAGTTGTCAATATTGGATGGGGAGTCGTTACGTTCTCATTTACCAACATTCTTCCGGTACCATTCTGTTGAATAGACTTTGAACTGCTTTGGGAAGGAGTCTGAGCATGGGAGGCTTGTTGCTTGCCAAAACTAGACGGCGATGGCGGCACCCTGCTGTTCTTTAACAAGTCAAACTGATTTTGCTGAGTACCAGCAGGAGATACTTGAGGTAAACTAATTGGTCCATTAGAAGTAAACTGGTTGGGTGTAGACGTCGTACTACCGGTCGAAAGTGGATTACCAAATGGAGACAGACCCGGATTGGAAGTGGTTGGACTGGGTCCTGGCAAACCCACAACGTTGGGTTGAGACTGTTGCTGCTGCTGCTGCTGTTGAGGTAGTGTTGGTCCAGCTTGGGAAGGGTTCTGTTGAACGTTAAAAACCATCTGGTTTCCAGTCAGATTTCCAAGAGCGGCCTGCAATGAATTAGGCGACCCTGGCCGATGAGGTTGCTGCTGCTGAACCAGCGGTCGCACTACTTGCAGATTGGGTCTGATGGGTCCTCCCTGAGGTTGTTGCTGCTGTTGCTGCTGTTGTAGTTGTAATTGCTGTTCTTTTCGCTTTTGCCTTTTCTCCTCCAATTCTTTCTGTATCTTATAGATTTTTTCCGCCAACAAGTGATAGTATTCAGACCGAGAATTGGCCATTTCGTACATGTCGCCTTCAACTTTTCGTGCATATGCAACTAGATTATGCATGCGTCGATCGAGTAGCGCCTGAGGATCCGGTGTTGGAAATATTGCTTGCACCAACTTATGCACTAAGTGGTTGCGCAAATCAGCTGTAACCGACTGGTGCCACTCTTTGGTCCCTGTTACAGGAGAAGCCGTAACTTGTGATGGCTGCAGTCCGCCTGGTAATTGACTAAGTATGCCTTGATTCGCAGCTTCAGCCCCACTTGCTAGACCTATCATAACACTGTTCACATTCTGCTGAAACGTGCTGGTCTGCTGATTTAAGCCTTGACTCTGTCCAAGTACATTCGATGACGGATCACTGCTCAGAGGTAAACTAACGTTGGGAGCCAAACTGACATTAGGCGCCCCCCCTTGTGGCCCAGGCGGACCAGACCTAAGAATTCCTGACGGACCTCTATTGGCCATGGCAGAATTGGGATTCACTGGCAACCGAAGAGGTGGCCGGGTTGCCGAAGAATTTGCCATCAAAGCTCCTGAATTTTCAAAATTCCGCCTTAATTGCGCTTCAGATGTGTTTACACCAGGTGGTTGTGTAGGAGTTTGCTGTGCATTTGCAGCAGTGGCAGCATGATTCCTATTTTTGTCGGCTTGCTTCAATGGCAAACAAACTGGACAATCCTGTCTAATGCAATTTTTCCAGTGACTTATAATTTGCCTGCTCGAACTACAGTGCGCTACCGAACAACTTCTTCCGGCGTTACACGTAGTCATGTGATTAAGTACGTTTTTCATCGTTCTGCAGTGTGGCAATGTGCACGTCCAGGCATCACCATTGGCTTGTGCTGATTCTCGTCGCTGACATTTGTGAGCATGCAATAACAAAACCAACTGTTGTTGAATCAGTTTGCGTTTCTCCGGATCTAAAAATCAAAATATTTTCGTAAGTAGTCATACTTTTCCAATCTTTCAGTAAATGAAAATTTACCTGTAGAGGGTGGCGGAGCAGGTTGACCGGGCTGATTTTGGGTTGCTTGCTGAGGGCCCGGTTGTGAAACACTCGGTGCTCCAGATTGTGGCTGGGCAGGTGACGGTGCCGGTGGTTGCGTTTGCACAATACTGCCGTCTCCTCCCATTGGTCCGCCCATGGAACCCACGGTGCCAGACGGGGGTGCTCCAAATCTAGGACCTGTGACTGAAAGCTTTTGTTGAGGCGTTACCACTCCGACTGTGTGAAAAGAGTTTTGTTTAATCAACCGTAATTGTTATCGCAACGCGATCTTACCTGGAGGGCCGCCTTGATTCAAGTTTGAGTTTGGATACGGATAGGGTGTGTTTCCAGGCATACCCTGCTGGTTTATGATGATGTTAAGGTTGCGAGGCCCACTAATGTGAAGACCATGCGGTGTTCTTTGCACATGGGTCAACCGATTTAACATAGGTCCATTCTGTAATCCCTGTGAAACAAATCTTGATTACGAACAAGAACTCTGACTTGCGGAGGCTTCGTACCTGTGACACATTATGTCCTCCCGGATGATGAGGCTGTCCTATCATGTTGGGTGCGGAAGGTAGTTGAGGCTTGTTTGCAGCCCCGCTACTGACAACCAAGCCTCCGCCACCCATTCCTCCAATAGAACTCATGTTGCTGTTGGTCATAATCATGCTGCCGCCAGCTGTGTTATTCAGTCCTAGAATAAGCGAATTAGTTTCAGTAAATACAGAGAGCACATAAATCGAGTGTGTCCTTTCAGTTTGTATATTATACCTTGGATATATTTAGTACCTTGGATTGAACTCATCACTTGTGGACTACTTCCATTATTTGCAACCGATTGCAGACCTGAAGCATTAGATATACGAGATGGTAAAGTACCAAGGTTAATCTGATCAACTACCCCACCTTTTGCCACCGATATATTAGGAGGCGATTGCAAATTGGGACTCTTGTTTCCCAGTTGTCCACTAGCCAATATGGCACTATTAACCAATCCTTTGGCACTCTGAAAGCGAATCATTGACTGGATCAATGTAATCGTAACGGCCACTGGGGACTAAGTTTACCTGTTGCAACAAATGACTGAGCTGGATTTGCCGCATATTGCTGGCATCCGCGTTCTCGATGCCATTCTGCATGCCACCTGGTCCAGGACCTTGAGCCGGTGGCTTCTGATTGCTCATATGATCAGGAAGCCATGAGGTGGACGATATCAGCTCATCAGGGAGATCGTTTTCCAAATCCAGCATGTTAGCAAGAACATCTAAGAAAATTAGCCTTGTTAAAAATTGGTTTGGTAGAAGTTCGTAGCTGTGGCCCACCACCTTAAGTTTAACTGTACAAACACTCGATGTCAAAAAACTATAGGAATCTTAAACTAGTTATGCATGTAGTGAGCATGATTTTACTGGTTTACAACTACTCTTCTGGCTTGTGTTCAATTAACTAATATATACTATACTCATACTATCCACTACTAAAGCAAAAATATAATATTCACAGAGTATGACGACATCGTACATGCAGTATTAAAAAGCACACTCAAAAAAATAGAAGCAACTGAAACAGAATAACGTACCTACAGTATTAATTGAATTGGAAATGCTTCAATTAAAAGCCATATTAGGTAGTATATAAAATAAGTATGAAAGAACTATAGTTGTCTCAGATTTTTTTTGGGTTAGTACTTTTTACTAACGATTATAATAATATTAAGGCGATAAATATTTACTTTGATTTTGGCCAAAATTCCACTGGGTCCTAGGATTGAACACACCACCACCTTGAGTAGAGTCTGTGGATCCCAACCCATAGTTGTTGTAAGCTAGTTAAGTACAGGTATAAGATGTCAAAGAAGGCTTTTAACTAGCAGAATTGTTTTGCATCTAGACCTTTTCCAGGTCTACTTACAAAACTTTGTAACAGCAAATTAAAAGAAAAAATCATAGAATATATGTTACATTAAAACTATGTAGCAAGTACAATAACACGTGATTCTACTTGATTCATATGAAACATCAACAAATAGCTCCATAATAATGGACAACTCCTATACCACACACATGCTGTATGCATTATGTCACATTTTGGGCACACATTAATTCGACACTCTATGTACATCATCGTCATATAGTAATTCATATGGAAGATTTACTAAAGGAAGTTACTTTGAAGATATGTATTGTTGAGTGCTGATAATGGTTCTAACAATATGTTGCGACTAGATTTTCCATAGCTGAAACGTTTTCTCGTACTTTCACTTACCAACACCTCTCAATATTGCTCCTGTTCATTGAAAAAATGACATAACAAAAATAGTCGAAATCGCAAGAAGATGAGCGAGTCAGCCTGAACTTTTACGGTAACAGCTATGAGCTGACAAAATTCAACAGGTACAAGTCATATATTGTACCTATTCTAGTTGCTTTGAACATTGGGTTTTCTTTTCTGAATCAGATCCACATTGGGCATATCTTAACGATATACAGGGTTGCTCATTAGTGCGTCAAAGTGCGATATCTCAGTAAATATGAACTTTACAAGAAAATACGTCCTACGAAAGTTTTTCATGTTTAAAAGGTCCACATTTTAAAATTACTTTCCAATATACGGGGTGTATCATAAACGTGTGGTAGTTACCAACTTTGGTTTTTTAAATGGAACCGCCCCTTTTTTCATTCATTTTCAGATTTGTCGTCAAAATTTAAGTTAAGTTTGTGTCAAACGTTTTACCTGAAAAATTTACGATTTCCGAGTTATTCGTAAAAATGTGAAAGTTTTGACAGCTACTGGGTTCCACAGAAATCGATGCTGTACACTACCCGCTGCGAATTTTGGAAAACAGTTTTCAGCGATTCTAACAGAACATCATGATCTACGCGTAGATATGTTT